CCTAGCTCCCATACTTGGGGATAAACACTATAAAAGTATAAAAATGCATTTTTCTAGTAAAAACACCAGCAATATTTTTATAGTAAAAAATTACCAGCAATGCATGTAGAAAAAGAAAAATAACCAGCAATACATATTTGTATATGAAATTGCTAATGCTAGCAAGAAAATTAAATTTCGGTATTAAATGACCCAGAAGGAGTTGACATGCCGCTAAACAAATAAACATAAAATAACCCCATGCAGTGAATCTCTACCTTGAGTCGGTCTTGGAGCTTTGAGTGTGTGAACAAAAACGTTAATTATTGAGGGTCTGTAATAAATGCTAATCTGAAGGTTGAAGTATCTCTGTCATGTTTCGCATCGTGTGACATGAATTATTTTAAACCACCTTTCGATTTGGTCATCACCATCGACTGCAGCAGGCCTGCCGCTAAATTCTTGATCTGCTAGCTTAAACGTTATTCTTAGGAATCTCGCAACCCATTTAAGAATTGCCATCTGACCTCCGGCACCATCTCTATAAATGGTGAACATCTTTTAATTTCTGGAAATCAAAAAAGTATCGATGACAATGAATCGCACTTCATTTTAATTTTTAAATTAAAAACGATTAAAATTCACCATTATCACCTGTCATACAGAAAGATGAATTGAAGGAATATTATTTAGAATATAGTAAGTATGATCAAAAAGTATCAGGACTGTTGCTATGGTAACGGATCTGAAGTACCATCAGGGAAGCCGCTTGACACACATTGCCCTTGTACTCTTTCGCGCATGCACACAAAGTTATAATGTTCTCGCTTACTTTCCTTGTTTATAATACTGATTGGAAGGAATATATATAGGCTATGATCGTCTCACCACACCATAAAGTTTCCATTAATGACGATGTCTTGTGAGGCAGTTTTCGTCTAAGGACGACATTCCACAGGTCTGACAATTACCATATTCCCTAGATCAATACCGTTGCGACTTTCACCTCTTCAAAAATCAAATCTCACTTGAAACGAACTGAATTTCAAGATGACAAGGAAATTCAACAGAATGCGACGAGGTAGTTGTTTCATTATCCCCCAAAAGGAATTCCAGGAATGCTTCCAACAATGGAAAGGATAAAGAATAACATCTGCAGCTTCAGAAAGAGGCTTCTTCGACAAAAATTAAATGCATAATTGCTATGTGTTGTAGTTTTCTTTTTATAGTACCAATCCCGATAATTTGTGACCGGAGCTCCTATTCAGTAAATTCCAGTGACGCGTGAATGAGGAGACTTGAAGCAACAGAAACAATAAAGACAATATTGAACTGTTATGTAATATTGGTCCTTCTATATAGTAGTGAATGCGGGACAATCTCCTTAAAAATGAAGAAGAGACTTGAAGCAACAAGAAACAAAGAAAAGTGCACTGAAGTATTGTTCAATATCACCCCTCCTACATACCAGGGAATGATGGGAAATCTCCTCACAAATGAAGAAGAGACTTAAGACAACATAAACAAAAGAGTACTGAGCTGTTATTTAACATCAGTCATCCTATATGGCAGTGAATGCTGAAGCAACAGAAATGTGGTTCTACAGATGGATACTAAGAATTTCAAGGAGCGAATATATGAGCAACGATGAAGTTTTAGAGACAATGCCAACAGAAAGGACGCATATATTTAATAACAGAAAGAGAGGGTTTAAGGAAACATAAGGTGAAAGAAGGCTTGGAGAATTTGATACCCTCAGGAGAGCTTTTCGTAAATGTCGTATTAGACAATCTCCTACTTTTTGGCAGGTGTGGGTAATATTTAAGGTTTAAATGTCGCGAATATATACAATATGTAGGCTTTCCTCTTTTTCTCACTAAGAATAAACAGCAGCTCTAATATATCTTTCTCTAATTTCTTCCTTCCCAATCAAAGTGAATTGTCCCTTATTTATCTTTGGCAATAACGCACGTGTCAACTAGGTAACTTCTGTGACGTACAGTGGCGGTTAAATGATTAACTATAACTCAAGACTTTAATGTTAAAATAAAACAGTATTTAATTACAACTACAAATAAATACTTCACATGAACAAAGAAGTAAAAGCCAGCTAAAGATAATTAATCATTTCAGTGAATACTTTGTTAGTAGCGCGGCTCGGCTTGATGTCAGGTAATCCTTAATCAAAACCCAAATCATTGACACACAACAATTCACACTAATTCGACTGGATAGTTCCACTCAATAATCACTCCAGTCAGTAGCCTGACACCGCTATTTATACACCTGGTGGAAAATATATATACATGAGTCCACGTTTCAACATCGGTGTCTTTCTATATGACACCACCCCTTTTTGAGATGACATTTCTGGAGTCTATATCGATTTAGTTTGGGATCAATATTTAAATGTTCCGTTGTTGTTATTTTTCTTTTACTTTACCTTTTATTGAGAGGAGTGACCATAATGGAGCTGGGGCCAAATACTTGTTTTATCAACCAGTACAACTGCTCAATATTT